AGGGCCCCCCCCCCCCCCCCAAAGCACGCGTGTTTTCCTTGTATTCCATGAAGTTTTGATTTGAGATGATAATTTCTCGGCAAAAAGTAAATCCATTTGAAGGTTTTTTTTAGAAAATCCTACTGAAAGTTTTGAATTCCTGATGTAGGACAAACAGAGTTAAGTTGTCCAATTAGAGAGTTGGGGATAAAAAAACCTACATGTTACACCTAGGGATTTTTAGACATCACATTTAAGAAGTCCTAGGTATCATAACTTAAGGGTTTGATTGCATATCACAACTAGAAAACTGAAAAAGTTTCAAAATATTATTAAATACTTAAATAAATTAACAAGTAAAACTACAAGTTAATTAGATAATAATCTCTAAACAACTATTTCTAAGTAGAATTAAATTAGGAAATAGTAAACTAATAGAATTAGGAGTATTAATCCTAATAAAAATAAGAAACTAATACTAATGATGTTAAGGATTCTAATGAGAAAAGAAATGTAAATTACTAAAATTATAATAATGCTCCTAAGTAATATAATAATAGATTCATAAATAATATAATTGTTTTACATTTAATATAATTACGATTCCTAATTTATTTAGAATTACTAAAACTCATTCTGCATCATTCTCCTTTAATTGGAGAAAACTTTTCCACGAGTTTTGAAGTGGCGAGCAGTGTAGGATACTCGACGTTCCCCTTAAAAATACAGTAACCCTTCTGCTTGATCATTTTTCAGCTGCAAACACGATGTAAACATGTAACCTTTTACGAGTGTGGAATCCTAATGCTATGATGAAATTGACATATTAGTTAATTTGTGCTTCAAGTTTCTCCTTGCATTGATCTTGTGTAAAACTCCCCGGTAGTGAAAGATCTTGAACAATTTTAATATTTTTACTCTTAGGAAAACATGACAGTTCTTCTCGTTTTTTCAATTTTGATGAGCTCCTTCTCTTTATCTTTTCCATTAACTTTAGGTGCTTTTGGACATTTACATTTATTCACTTCTTCTGTATTCAGAAACTTCAAAACTATATCTTCTATGCCATGCATAAGACAATAAGTGTTAGTAATCCCATCATACTGAGCTTTTCGATTATAAAACTGAGCTTGACCTAGAACAATATGTGTGGATGTTGTGGATGCAAATATGGAAGGCGCAGCAAGAATAGGAAATTAACGTTCAATTAAATATGATATCTTAATTAGTATTAAATTCCTAAATAGTTAGAATCTTAATTAGTAATAGATTCCTATATAGTTGAAATTTTAATTAGTATTGGATTTCTAAAAAGTTGGAATTTTAATTAGTATTAAATTCTTAAATAATACATATATAGATTTTTCATTAGTATTTGATTCTTAAATAGTGTAGGATTTCTAATATTTTATAAAATATTTCTAATTAAACTTAGATTCTAAATTAAATTAATATTTTTAAATAAGAATTGTAACCTCTATATGAAGGGAAATGTTCGCTATTGATAAAATAAGTCAGAATATTAGTTTAAACTACGAGATTGGAGCTCTCTCTAACGAGATCCAAGATTAAACTGTAATCTATTTTCATAAAAATAGGTCACTCAAGAAATTGCAATAAGGAGAAGAAACAGATTCTAGAACCGAAAATTCTAGAAAATCGCCCAGTGACAAGATCCTGGTCTCGAAATCATAACAGTGGACATCATGAGAACTATATCACACAAAGTTGGATCGCTATAAGTACCATGAGAAATAGAAACAAGACTTTTTTGAGTTACCAAAATTCTCAATTTATTTGTCCTCGCTAGTCTTTATGGTTGGATATGCGGTTGTGTTAAAAGATTGAGTTGTTCAAATGTAAATATTGAAACAAGATTTCTGCAACTTTCTTCGTGAATGACAAGTTTCTTATATTTTTTTCACAATGGGTTACACTTTGGAGAATTAGAAAACACTTTGGATCCTTTTCTATGCTAATAGTATAATTGTGCTAAACTACAATCAAGAACGACTTATCAATCCTATCATCCTTGAGTAATGACTCAATCTCTCCCTCACGATTCCACATGCTTTAAACTTTTTCCTTCACACTTTTGCAAAAGATATTGCACTAACTTTTGTGAAGAGATTGCCAATTAGGAAAAGCAAACATAATACCTGGGATCCTGCTACAATCAGTTTGAGAGAGGATAAAGCAGTCTGGCCAACCCGGCTTGGTCAACCCCAATTCAAAAAAGTTAAACAAAACACGCTTTTGCAATGTTTACTCGCGGGTGCACATATGTGGGGTTCATGCTTGATTACAGTCACCGGACAACTTGAATCATTGGTCAATTGTCTTAAATGGAGGTGGCAGTTGCTGATCAAAGGTCAGTATAAGACACAGTTGTGTAGAAATACAGGAGAGAGGCAGCGGTGGGGCCGGACCTCGTTGGCGAGTGGCATTTTCTCTGGGTTGGTTTTGTGGCGGGGCTGGGTCTGCCAATGCCAGTTAGAGCCTTTTGAAGCTAGTGGTAGAGGCGGTGCCGAATACCTCCAGGCAATGGCTGGTGAATGGAACTGGCAGCCGTTTTAGGATTTCTATGGATTTTTTTTGTTGCGATATTTTTTTTCCAGATGGGTATGGGACTGTTTGGGTATAGTATTTTGAGAAGTTAGGTATAGGATTGTTTTAGTTTTTTATCCAATTAGAGGGTTGAGGATAAAAAAATTAGATGTTACACCTAGGGTTTCTTAGACATCACATCTAAGAAAATCTTGAGCATCATACTTAAAATTTGATTGCATCATACAACTAAAAAATTGAGAAACTCTCAAAATATTATTTAATATTTGAATGTCCCAATAAGTGAAATTACAAACTAGTAATAAATAAAATTAAAATAAAAAATAGTAAACTAGTAAAATTATGAATACCAACGCTAATAAGAATAAGAAATTAATATTAATAATATTAAGAATACTAATAAGGAAGAAATTTTAAATTATTAAAACTATAATAATATTGCTAAATAATATAATAATTTATTACTAAATAGTATACTGTTTTATATGTAATATAATTACATTTTCTAATTTATTTAGAAAATCTAGTGCTAACTCATTCTGCATCAATTCCTGAGTTATAGTCTCCTTTTCTTATATCGACAAATTCTTTACCACAACTAATCATGGGAGAATGAGAAGCAAAAGTTCACCCATATATTGCAGTTATTTTTGAATTTATGGAATGCAATACTCTGTGCCAATATTCTATACTAAGTTGTTGGTTAATTTCACCATCTCACCTTGGTTGGGATGGGTATGTCCCTTCCTCTTTCGCAAGAGGTAAGGGGTTCTACACTTATGAAGCCCTTTGGGGCCATAAAAAAAAAATTGTTGGTTACTTTTTGTCCTTGAATAGTTATTTCTCAACCATTTCTAGGTACGGTCAATCAATTTATTTGGGGAAGTTTGGGGTATTGGTCCTGCAACTGCATTGAAACTATATGAGAAGGGACACCGCACACTTGTGGATTTGAAGAATGAAAATACATTAACAAATGCACAGAAGTTGGGACTGAAATATTTTGATGATATTCAAACAAGGATTCCACGTCATGAGGTCTGGTTATTATAATTCATCTCTCCTCATATTTTCTGGTTCTGCTTTTGTTCAGAATGTCTCATGTTTTTTTTTAACGCAGGTTCAAGACATGGAACTTCTGCTACAAAAAGTTGGAGAAGAAACTTTGCCAGGGGTGAGGACAATAAGTTATTGACTGGACTGGTTTTAAGTGAACTTTTGATTAGACTTTTGGATATTCCTCTGACTGAAACTAGTGGTGAACTTTAGTGGGTTGTACTTGTTATCTTTAGGATGTGGCTGCATGAATTGAACAAGCGAGTAATAAAAAAATTAGTTGACTGCCCGTCTTTGTTTTAAATTCTTCATAGTAGACTTATTGTCTCTGATTTTCTTTTGTTTATCCCTTCTTTAAGAAAATGAAGACTAAACAAAGAGGAAAGTTAGCAAAAATGTAAAATACATGTTCACCTGCATATATGTGTGCCATAACATTGAAAATTCTGTAAATAAATGTTATTGTAAAGAAGGTGGTATAAGTGCAACCAATCTGATACTTGAACTTTTTGCTTTGGAAAATTGAGGCCCACGGTAAAGATTTGAGGATTTATGGTGATCTCTGCATGTGTATTTTTGGGTAGCCATGGGGCAGGGTTTAATTAAATGGACTGTATTTGGAGTATGTTCATATGCAAATGCTTGATACAGCAATTTGTTGAATTTTCAGTTCCATAGTTATCAGATGCAAGATGTTCCATACCATTTGCATTTTCTGGTTGATTGCAATAAGCTTTTTGGTTTTCTGGTTGCCTGGATTATCTAATGGATATAACATAAGCCAGAATCTTTCACTTTTACTAACATGCATATTTGTTGTGTGTACCTAATGTAATGGTTTCATGTCTCTCTTTAAGGTGGTTATTCTTTGTGGGGGATCATATAGACGTGGGAAAGCTTCTTGTGGAGATTTGGACATTGTAATTACTCATCCTGATGGAAAAAGGTATAATGATTACTCATGCTGGTGATGTTGTTTATGTTTTAGAAATAAGTACAGAATGCCTGGCTGTTCTCTGAATAGAAAGAGGGTCACTTTTATCCAGTAATTGATAACTACAGAATGAAGGCAAAGATGGTATAGATTTTGTTATAAGGTTAATCGCAAGAGAAAGCAAGTCTCATCTGTTAACATCTTTTTGACTCAGAGAAATGCAAGACTGAATATTCAACCGTTGGAAGAAGGTAAGAGCTAATAAGAATGGTAAAGAATAAATTCCATGGTCAGTGAGTGAAGTTGAAGAATAGGCCTCTATGCTTTGTTTTCTTGTCTCCATTTTGTCAGTGAATCTTAAAACCTGGGAGACTAGACTCTGTATAAAACAGCATAAATACAAGAACTTTTATGTTGATCGAGAACAACTCTAAAAAGGTTTTTATTTTATGACATCAAGCAGAAAGTTTAGTCTGTCACTACCATATCCCATTTTTCTCAACTGTTTTTTTCTTTTTAAAAAAGTTAATCGTCTGCTTTTCTTCTGTAGCTGTTTTTCTAGTTTTGTTTTCAATGGTGATTTAATTTGTGCTTTGTCTGCAGCCATAAAGGATTTTTGCAAACATATGTGAAGCGATTAAAGGATATGAAGTTCTTGAGGGAAGATTTGGTTTTCAGTGTTCATAGTGAGGAGGTAATAAATCTTCAGTTAGCTTGGTTCTAACATGATATTAAATTTTAGAACTTTACAGAGAGAAAAAGGAAGATTATATGTCTTTTTCTTTCCACGGTGAAGGTAGAATGTTGAAGATCATCTTGTTTAATTTTTATTTTCTAGCTCATGCATATAAGGAACTGTAGAAAATATAATAATTAGAAAAATAAATTAGGATTAAAAATGGTTATTTACAACTGTTATGTGCTGTAAATGGAGGAACCATTTACAGTTGTTATGTGCTGTAAATGGAGGGAATCACCAACAAATTTGTTACAACAAATTTGTTCTTAGAAACAGAATTTTGTTAGGTTTCTCTTCAGAATTTGTTAGGTTGTTAGGGCAGTAGACTTGTATATATATGTGTGGAAATCATTCATCAAAAGAATGAAAGAATATTTTCTCTCAATTTTCTTCATGGTATCAGAGCCATACCTGATCCAAAAAGAAATTGATATCAAACTCTGCTGAGCCGTAATAAAAAATGGCCTCGGGTGAGTTTCCATCCTCTCCACCAGAAGTTTCCTCTGGTTCTTATCATCACACAGCAACAATCAGAGCTGTGAGTGAACTACCATCATCCTGTATCACAGGACATAAACTCGATGGCAGCAACTTCCTTCAATGGTCGTCGTTTGTCCGTCTCTTCATCCACGGAAGGGGGCGTTATGGGCACCTCACTGGCGAGCTCATGCCTCCTCCAGCGTCCGATGCAAATGCACAAACTTGGGAGATCGAAGACAGTATGGTCATGTCCTGGCTCATTATCTCAATGACTTCTGAAATCGGAGAGAATTTCCTTCTCTACGAAACTGCTCATGAAATCTGGAAGGCAGCACAGGAACTCTACTCTAGCAAGCAAAATACCTCTGAATATTCGAAATCGAGTCAACTCTTCATGACCTTCGACGAGGAGAACTCAGTGTCACCCAGTATTACAGTATCCTTAGTCGAAATTGGCAGCAGATGGACGCCTTCGAAGAGTGTCACTGGAATTGCCCCGAGGACGCGAAAAACTTCAAAGTCTTTGTGGAAGAAAAACGAGTCTTCAAATTCCTGCTAAGGCTAAACAAAAATCTTGACGCGATTCGGGGACGTGTTCTGAGCACCAAACCCTTGCCGAGTCTTCGAGAAGTTTTTTCTGAGGTTCGACACGAGGAGAGTCGTCGGAAGATCATGATGGGAGAGAATGACCAATCTCACCAGACTGAAAATTCTTCAGTTCTCACAACCCGAGCGATTGACAGTCGAACGAAGAAGACAAGGCCCTGGTGCGACTACTGTCGGAAGCTAGGGCACACTCGGGAATGTTGCTGGAAGCTTCATGACAAGCCAAGTGACTGGAAACCACCTTCAGGTGAGTGGAAAATGTCGAAAGCAGAGACCTCCAGTAAACTTCGAGGAAATCACGTGACGGCTGAGGAAGTAATTTTTGATGAGATGGGAAAAGACCTATTTACCCCTAAACAGTTGGAAACCCTCCAACAAATCTTGTTCAAGAAATCTCACTTAGTTAGTGCCTCTGTGGCACACAAAGGTAATAGGTTTATCTGCTCTTTTAGAAAAAGGACAGGTGTGGGTGGTAGACTCTGCAGCATCTGATCATATGAGTGGCGATTTCTCAATATTCCAAAATTACAGAAGATGTGAAAAAAATATTTCAATCAGAATTGCAGATGGTGCTCTCTCAAAAGTGGCAAAAATGGGCTCTGTAAATTTGTCTCCAAATTTGACTCTCTGTTCAGTTCTCCATGTTCTGAATTTGGATTGTAATTTGTTGTCTGTCAGTAAATTATGTGAAGATTTGAAATGTGCTGCGAAATTTGTTTATAATATGTGTAATTTCCAGGATTTGGACTCGGGGAAGACGATTAGCAGTGCTAGGATGAGTTCGGGATTATATTTGTTTTAAGTCAATACCTCTAAAAGATAAACTCACAATGCAGTATGTGAAAACTCTGTTCCTATTTCCAAAAATAATGATCATGATATTATGTTGCGCCACTATAAACTAGGACATCCAAAGTTCATGTATTTAAAAAGGATGTTTCCACTACTATTTAAAGGAAAAGATCCAGTTTCATTACAGTGTGAAGTTTATCAATTTTCTAAACATACTCGAAGTTCATTTCATAGTCTACCATATAAACCATCTAAACTATTTGCATTAATTCACAGTGATGTTTGGGGCCCTTTCAGGGTTTCCAACGTTTCCGGAGGTAGGTGGTTTGTATCTTTTATTGATGACCATACAAGAATTACTTGGGTATTTCTCATGAAGGAAAAATCTGACGTGGGATCCCTATTTAAAAAATTTCATACAATGATTCGAACCCAATTTTATGCTACCATCCAAGTATTGAAATCCTACAATGCTTGTGAATATTTTGAAAATACTCTTGAAAAATACTTTACTGAACATGGCATTATTCATCAAACCTCCTGCGTTCATACTCCACAGCAAAACGGCATAGCCGAAAGAAAAAACATACATATTCTTGAGGTTGCTAGATCTCTCATGTTCACCACACATGTACCAAAATATCTTTGGGGAGAGGCTGTCCTTACAGCTACCTATTTGATTAATCGGATGCCCTCCCGTATTCTACAGTTTCAATCATCATACACTATCCTCTCAAAAATCTTTCGTGATTCTCACATCTTAAATACTTTGTCACTTAAAGTATTTGGGTGTTTAGCATATGTCCACATTCATAAACATCTTCGTGGGTACTCAACAAATCAAAAAGGATACAAATGTTTAGTTCCGGAAACCTGCCGATTTTATAATACCATAGACGTCACCTTTTTTGAGAATCAACCATTTTATCCCATCACTGATATTCAGGGGGAGACATTCTCTTAGGAATATCAATTGTGGGATGTGTGTACCATATCTCTACCCCTCAAAATCCATCACCAGACAAACCTTCCTTGGAGATTGAACCTGAAACCTCACAAAAGAAATCAGAACCAAAACCCTGTTATAGAAAGCACATTACCTGCAGCGAGTGAGTTACGTGTCTATACAAGAAGAAACAAAGGAAAAGCATCTGAATCATCCAAGCACTGCCATGAATTCCCCACTGATCCAGGTAACGTAATCTCTATACTAATTCTTGATTCCGTTGATTCTGATATTCCTATTGCTTTGAGGAATGACACTCGAACATGCACCAAACATCCTATACAGGACTATGTTTCATTGGACAAATTATCCTCAGAACATCATGCTTTTGTGAGCAGGATAGACAGCAGTTCACCTGAACCCAGAACAATACATGAGGCCTTGGAAATTCCAGAATGGAAGTTAGCTGTCCTAGATGAGATCAGGGCATTTGAAAAGAATGAGACATGGGAACTAACTGATCTTCCTCCAGGAAAGCGTCAAGTACTGTAACGGCCCCGGAAATATTAAAATGAAATGAGTATTTAAATATATCAAATGCGGAAGCGAGATCAAAATTTCAGTTAACATCCCTTACACGAAAAACCAGAAACGTACTTAAAAATATAAAAGATTAAACTAACTAAGAGAGAAACTCGAAAATAAAACTATGAGTATGACTACAGAGTCTCTAGGTATCCCCTTCGTCATCCTCCTGCGGAACGGGCTCGGGAACCATGTCTTCCTGATCTGAAATGGTTAAATAAGGAGTGAGCTACACTAGCCCAGTAAGAACATCACGATATCTCACCGTCACGGAGGTAAAGGTGGGTAGAAAAATACAAAAAGACCAATGGAGCATAATTTACAATAAACTCGTTTATTAACATGAAAACCTTTACCATCCACTTACCTTGGTGGAATTTATGAAAACAATATGAGAAAAACAATAACATCATCATAATCATTGAATAATCTAAGCTGTAAAACATAACACTTATCACGCCTCTTGTAATTCAATCATTGTACAACATATTTTTTTCTCATTTACCAGCCTACTAGTATCCGTGGGGGTCCATAGGGGTTCCGCTACCCGTTAACCTTTAACATTCATAATCAGTTTTCAGGACCGTCCCCATACCCCGTCCGGTATGGGCGCCAAAACCATAAACCTCAATACCCCGTCCGGTATGAGGGTGAAACGGGCCGTCCCCATACCCCGTCCGGTATGGGCGCCAAAACCATAAACCTCAATACCCCGTCCGGTATGAGGGTGAAACGGGCCGTCCCCATACCCCGTCCGGTATGGGCGCCAAAACCATAAGATCTCCATACCCCGTCCGGCATGTGAGACCACAATCCCGGTAGGGTTCCCTACGGACCCGGTCCGTCCACCATCTCCCAGGATATCTAGTCAGGCTGACCCCCTCATACAATTATCAGTCTATACAATGTTTCATTTCCCTTTTTCCTCAATAAGCATCATCAATTCACATTTAAACAAGCAAATCGTAATTCATGCCGAACAGCCAACATACAGTATCAGTTCTTCAGTCATTCAACCCATAATTAATAAAACAGTAATATATGCATTCGAAACTATAAAATGAACACATCAAACCCCATAATGCATTTAAAGCTGTAAAACAGGCCAAATAACAGTAAATCATCAATCATACTAGACTCGGGCTCCATTAGCAACCTTAAGCAATTTCACACATGCGTTAATTCAAGAAATACCGTTTTATCATTTTGAACTTTAATACCGTGATAGGAAATAGGGTGAGGGGTCCTTACTTGTTTTCGAGATCCGAATACGATTCACAGTGCGCCTGCAGGCCGTCCCTAATTTTCCCTGAATTTTTCCCGGGGAACTGAAACACACTAACAGTACCTGCACGTGTTCCAAAAAAAATCCAAATTAGGCCCAGGGCCCCTTTCGGACCAAATCGCAACTCCGGCACGGCGGCTCTGCCGTGCTCCGGCGACGGCGCCGCCGCTGGCGGCGGCGAGTCGCCTCGGGTTGACTGTTTTCGGCCGTTTTCGGCCGAATTCGGCCACACTCGCATTGGTCCTTGTCAGAAAACAACCC